GCCTGACATAGTAAGCCGCCGAGTTCAGTGAAATGGCTCAGACAATAGATCAGTATGTACTAATATCAAACCACGATGAGGATCTATCTTGCAACACTTGTTTACATCACCATTGCCCGCTCCAGACCTGAAAAGTACGGCGTGACACCACCAATCTCCAAGGAAGGCCCTTCTCCACAAGAGGTTGCTCTTGCAACTGACCTTATAAATGAACTGAGAGCACGAGGATCTTTTGAATCGGAGGAGGAGTCGAAAAAGAGGTGAGACATAAGTTCTTATGAAGCAATGCCACGTCCCAGAGTGGAGGGGTTTCTCTTCCTTCTCCCGAATAAGGAAGCTAACAAAATTTTCTCTCATTAACTGTCATATCGCCTTCAAATTCATTATCTATGTTGAATGAACTCGCAAACATTCTCTAGAGAGGCGGTCCTTGGCCACGTAGCAAAGCTAGTCAAGGAATTCGTTTATAAAGCTTCTATAAGAAGAAACTTCACCGAGGGAACTGCGCGGGCATCGGGCGGAAAGATATTCACGTTCGGCTCTTACCGTCTAGGCGTCCATGGACCTGGGTCTGATTTAGATACCCTCATTGTTGCGCCAAAGCACATTGATCGTCAGGATTTCAACGAGATCTTCCTCGAAATGCTTCAAAATGACCCATTGGTTGACGAAGCGATTGTATGTATATCATTTCCGACCGAAGCTCTCTGTCTAAATCTGTCCCAAGGGTGTTCCAGAAGCTTACGTGCCAATCATTGCAGCTGTGATTCAAGGCATACCAATCGACTTTACATTCGCCCGACTTGCCTTGGCAGTGATACCGGATGATTTGGAGCTGAAAGATGACTCTCTGCTCAAGAATCTAGACGAGAAATGCGTCAGGAGTTTGAATGGCTCTAGGTGTACGGATGATATCCTGCGCTTGGTGCCTAACGTCCACGTATTTCGCGATGCATTACGAACAATCAAATACTGGGCACCAAGCACGTCCTCTTCACATTTATATGAATATGCACTAACTCTGTGACCATATAGTCAGAGCTGTCTATTCGAACGTGAACGGATTCCTTGGAGGTGTGGCATGGGCGCTTCTGGTGGCCAGGGTTTGTCAGCTGTATCCAAACGGTAACGCCGCAACAATAGTTCGACGATTCTTCTTGATCATGTCTATGTGGTAAGGGAGTTCTATGTTTTCAACTATGCCATCTTACGGAGTCGACACTACACAGGAAATGGCCGCAACCGGTTCTGCTCCGCAAAATCGAGGATGGAACTTTAAATATGAGAGTATGGAACCCCAAGGTTAGAATTTTACTGATTTCAAATCATGTCGATTTCTCAAAAACATCAGATCTATCCAGGAGATCGTGCGCATAAAATGCCGATTATAACCCCGGCATACCCATCAATGTGCTCTACACACAATGTCATGAACTGCACTCTGGAAATCAT